AGTTCAGGTGCCTCCTTTCCTTGTGCACCTGCCTGGATCTTTTACTCTACACTTGGTTTTGTGGGGGGCAAAGGTTCTCCTGAAGAGAACCTTTGCCCCGTTGCAGTGCACCTGCTTACCTTTTTCCTTTAAGCACTCCTATCGCCTTTAATTTTTTTTTATCGTACAGTTGCTCCCCCTCACCTTATCTACCTGGAGGGCACCTAATCTTTAATAGCACCATCCTACATTTTAGTGGACTTTTTTTTTATATTGCACCTATCCTACCTACCTTCATTTATAGTGCCTATGTCCAACCCATCCCCCTCCCTATTTAAAGTGGACCTACCTTAACCCATTATATAGCAGTTTTGTCTTTTCTTTAGATCCTACCCTTATTTTATAGTGTTGACCTTTCTTTTGTGCAACTAATCCCATAATAGACAGCTTAAATAATTTTTTTTTTTTTTTTAATATTGCTTTTATCCTCCCTCAGTTCCCTTTGTGTAATTCCCATTCCTCCTGCTTTTCCCCATTAAGTGTATCAGCCCCTAACTGCCTTTACCATGCATTTACTCCCACCACTTTTACAATAGTAACACACTATCAGACTTTAACTCAGCTGTTGTAGACTTTCGGTGAAAATATGCTCTGGTGGGATACATGATGCTGACACTTGACGTGATTAAAAACAAGTTTGAGTAAACTTGATTTACACAATTATTAACTTGCACATAGCATATTCAGATTTTCTTTCTAGAAAACAATTGTTTTTGCAGAAAGCTCTCAAATTACTCTTGAAAAGTACCACCATTCTTGAGAAGCTTTGTGTATACCCACTTAGACATTCTTGTCTGTAACTGCTACAAAGGCATTGTTCATACCTTCATTCCCTTCAGAATGATAACATGCCATTCCCCTCACAAGGTTAACATGCCTACCTTAGAGCCTTGTAGTTTTTTTTTTTCTTTTTTAATTTAATTCTTATAGGCTTGTGCTAGTAGTTTCTACAGTATCAGTCGTAGTGTAGGTGTTCTTAAGTGTTTTGTGAAGCACTGAGAAGAAAATTGATGAACTTGCCTTATGTCACTTTTGTGAAAATAACCTACAAAGCTTAGCAACAAAAACCCAATGAATTTGCCAAATGTCACTTAAATTACCTACAAACATTTGCAGCATGTTTGCAACAATATATCAGTAGCCAACCATTGTTTTCATCGGAATGGTGTCATTTTACACGTTAACATTTTTGCTTGCTACACTTACTGACGGGTTTGTAGATTTTCTTCATTGCCTCGTATTTTCTTGTCGACTGATTTCGCAAGTTATAGCTTGCATCTATACTCCTGGTCCCTTGTACATGATGAATGCAGGTGTGTGAACATGGTTTAAACTTCACTAATGACTCATTTGTTAGAACTAGAGAATGTTAATAATCCCTACCCATTACTACAATATTAGGGCCTATCCCATTAGTGGCCACCTCATGTACATGCATTGTATATTGTGCGGGCACTGTCGTTGCTCATGTGCAGGCACTGCCTGTCGTTGCTTGTGTGCGAGCACTGTCTGTCGTCACTCGTGTGCGGGCACTGTCTGTCGTCACTCGTGTGCGGGCACTGTCTGTTGTCGCTCGAGTGCGGGCACTGTTGTCGCTCGAGTGCGGGCACTGTCGTCGCTCGAGTGCGGGCACTGTCGTCGCTCGAGTGCGGGCACTGTCTGTCGTCGCTCGAGTGCGGGCACTGTCTGTCGTCGCTCGAGTGCGGGCACTGTCTGTCGTCGCTCGAGTGCGGGCACTGTCTGTCGTCGCTCGAGTGCGGGCACTGTCTGTCGTCGCTCGAGTGCGGGCACTGTCTGTCGTCGCTCGAGTGCGGGCACTGTCTGTCGTCGCTCGAGTGCGGGCACTGTCTGTCGTCGCTCGAGTGCGGGCACTGTCTGTCGTCGCTCGAGTGCGGGCACTGTCTGTCGTCGCTCGAGTGCGGGCACTGTCTGTCGTCGCTCGAGTGCGGGCACTGTCTGTCGTCGCTCGAGTGCGGGCACTGTCTGTCGTCGCTCGAGTGCGGGCACTGTCTGTCGTCGCTCGAGTGCGGGCACTGTCTGTCGTCGCTCGAGTGCGGGCACTGTCTGTCGTCGCTCGAGTGCGGGCACTGTCTGTCGTCGCTCGAGTGCGGGCACTGTCTGTCGTCGCTCGAGTGCGGGCACTGTCTGTCGTCGCTCGAGTGCGGGCACTGTCTGTCGTCGCTCGAGTGCGGGCACTGTCTGTCGTCGCTCGAGTGCGGGCACTGTCTGTCGTCGCTCGAGTGCGGGCACTGTCTGTCGTCGCTCGAGTGCGGGCACTGTGTCGTCGCTCGAGTGCGGGCACTGTCTGTCGTCGCTCGAGTGCGGGCACTGTCTGTCGTCGCTCGAGTGCGGGCACTGTCTGTCGTCGCTCGAGTGCGGGCACTGTCTGTCGTCGCTCGAGTGCGGGCACTGTCTGTCGTCGCTCGAGTGCGGGCACTGTCTGTCGTCGCTCGAGTGCGGGCACTGTCTGTCGTCGCTCGAGTGCGGGCACTGTCTGTCGTCGCTCGAGTGCGGGCACTGTCTGTCGTCGCTCGAGTGCGGGCACTGTCTGTCGTCGCTCGAGTGCGGGCACTGTCTGTCGTCGCTCGAGTGCGGGCACTGTCTGTCGTCGCTCGAGTGCGGGCACTGTCTGTCGTCGCTCGAGTGCGGGCACTGTCTGTCGTCGCTCGAGTGCGGGCACTGTCTGTCGTCGCTCGAGTGCGGGCACTGTCTGTCGTCGCTCGAGTGCGGGGGCACTGTCGTCGCTCGAGTGCGGGGGCACTGTCGTCGCTCGAGTGCGGGCACTGTCTGTCGTCGCTCAAGTGCGGGCACTCTGTCGTCGCTCGAGTGCGGGCACTGTCGTCGCTCGAGTGCGGGGGCACTGTCGTCGCTCGAGTGCGGGCACTGTCTGTCGTCGCTCGAGTGCGGGCACTGTCTGTCGTCGCTCGAGTGCGGGCACTGTCTGTCGTCGCTCGAGTGCGGGCACTGTCTGTCGTCGCTCGAGTGCGGGCACTGCCGGTCGTCGCTCGAGTGCGGGCACTGCCGGTCGTCGCTCGAGTGCGGGCACTGCCGGTCGTCGCTCGAGTGCGGGCACTGCCGGTCGTCGCTCGAGTGCGGGCACTGCCGGTCGTCGCTCGAGTGCGGGCACTGCCGGTCGTCGCTCGAGTGCGGGCACTGCCAGCACCTTTTTGCACTTTAGGCAATTTTTTTTTTAACGGGTATTTTACCTGTTTTTTCCTGATATGGGTACTGTGGCCTCTGCATTTAATGGGCATTTTGCTTATGCCTTGTCCCTGGTATGACCATTGTGCCTATTTTTTCTTGATATGGGCATTGGAGCTTTGCCTTTTCCCCTATCATGGACATTGGAACCTCTGCCTTTTTCCCTGATATGGGAATTGCAGCCTCTGCATTTTCCCCTGGTATGGGCATTGTGCCTAAGCTTTTTCTCCTGATATGGGCATTGCCCATGCTTTGTCCCTATTACAGAAATGGTCTGTCTTGTCTCTTGTATGGGCACTATGCCTACTTGTTTCTTGAATAGGCACCGCCTAAGTTTTTGTTGTATGGATACTGCTTTTTCCTTGCAAGAGTATGTACTGCCAGTTGTTACCTTGCATGGGTATTGTGCCTGCTTGCCTTATCCTTCAGTAAATTCTGACAGCACTGAACCTTAACCTCTTTTCTCATAGATTATCACTGGCACTGACCAAACCACTATATAGATGGCATTGAACCTCCCCCCCCCTTCCCAATCTCTTCCTGTTATGGTACTGGGGCTGATTGTCTTCTCTGGAAGGTACTGGGTCTTACTCCCTTCTACCCTTTAGAAGGCACTGGTACTCTTGTTTATCCTTCTAGAATGTCATCTTGTATTAGATAACACTAAAAGTCCTGTGCGAGAAAATTAAGGGTTAGCTGCTGGAAATGTTAGTGTAAAGTAAAAGGGATGTGCCTAATGGTAAATATATATATAAAAAAAGCTAGGCTTAGACCTAACAAGTCACTGCACTAAGCCTAACTTCACACGCCTCTCCTTTGCAAGGCACTAGTTTTCCTTCCTTGAAAAGTACTGGCCTTTTCTCCATTTTTCCATAAGTTGTATGATTTAAATCCATCTTTTGAAAGCTATAGACCTAATATTTTTTTGGCACAGTGGCACCATATTTTCCCTTTGCAGGCATTGTGAACCTATTCCTCCTCCCATTTCCACTGAAAAGTACTGGGTATGCCCTACCATCTTGAGAGGGTATTGAGCAAAAAGGCAGTAGATCTAATTCACCTAACCCTTTAGAAGGCACTGAGCCTACATAGCCTTTCTAATATGAAACACTAACTAGGCCTAAACACTCGATCCCCCTCCCTAGAAAATTCTGCTCCAACCCCATTAGTAAAGGCATAGGTACATACCTTGAAGCATTGTTTCCCTGTGTACAAAAATTAAAAAAAAAAAAAATTATGTAGACCTCCCATGAAGAGCTTGATGCAAGTTAGGCTGAAAACTGGTATGGTGATACTGACAAAATGTAGAAAGACTAATGTACAGTTGAGGACATTCATTAGAGGAAACTTTTCGCCACGAGTGGCTTTTTCAGCCCTAATTCAGAACTAAGGACGAGTATATATATATAGTGGCAGAAGTCATATGGTAAGATGCGAGAGGGTAGTGGTGATAGTAGTAGTACAATTGATGGGTCCTTTTCAAACCCAACCCATCTCGCCACAATTCTACTACCATCACCACCACGACTATTACTACCCTCTCGTAGCTTGCTGCCTGACTCTTCCCACTCTTGGCGAAACGTTGCCACTAATGCCATGAACTGTACCAGTGTCTTTATACAAAGGCGGATTAGATTGTGTATTTTCATGATTTTTGTTTTCTCAAGTCAGTTGTGACATTTCCCCCTTCCCAGTTACATTGTATATTTACTGTTTTGTTAGGGTGAATGTTAACTCGTAGTTTTTATTTTTTTTTTCAGTCTGCAGTAAAGGGTTTGACGATGGGTGGTATGAACGTGGTGTCCCTCACAGACAGCACTCCAATAATGGAGACTGATTCTCCACGCCCCAGGAAAGCAAAGAAGCTCTAGGCACCATACTTGCTTGCATCATCTGATATTATATATCTCGTGTTATTGCAATGTTGATAAATAGGCTTATCTACCTAATGTAATTAATTTGAGAATTAATTTCACCTTGTATTTCAGGGTCATTTTAATTCATAGGCTTCCTTTATTATACTATGTTTATATGAATAAATGATTAATTATTATAATTGTCTAATTTTCCTGATTTTTTTAAAACTTTTTGTTTGATGATGGTGTATGTTTGGCTACAGTGGTGGAGGATAACAATGGTAATAGGTGCTATGGTAGTGAAGGTAGCTTTATAGTTTTTGAACCTGGCTGGTGCTGACGACGTCATCGCGCTGAGCATTGTGGGTGATAGTAGGAACATGGCTGACAGACTTTGCTCTGGTCGACTCTGTCTGGTTCCGTACTAATCTACAAATTTCCCCGTCATCTGACAGGTGGTGGACATACATACCAGACCACCCTTATCTAGAACGCTTCGTAGGTATTTGTGCGTGAAAACAGAAAAATTCAGCGTGTTTTATAATGTGAAAACAGGAAATATCTGAAATTACGACTCTGCCGTCGAGACGAGCGGCCGTAAAATGGCCGACCGTCAGCCATCTTTGACGGCCACGTAACTCAGCGCTTGTAGAGGCCCCGAGCTCCAGCGCTCAGGCTGTGACTAGTTTAACTTAAATTAGTGTTTAGTAGTAAACTATAAAGCAATACTACGTATTTAGCAAGTGTTTATATATAATTTATTGCGAGTTGAGGTGTTTGGTGGGTGGGCCTGGACTCTGACACTCACCGGCTCAAGATGAGGAAGGTGAGTGTGGTTTGTTTACATCAGCTGATGCCTCTGTTGACATTCATCTACCATACCTTACTACCTAACACTTTAAATACCCTTTACTGGGAATTAATACCACATTTAACTTGGTTTAATGCAACACATGCACTTGTATTTTCTTGCATATTTTTAATATTTTTATAGAAATCAATTCTTTGTTTATGCGAGATTTAATTATTAGTGTAGTAGTATTATGATAATCTTTCCTGGTGTTATGCTTCAGTCTGCCTTGTGTGTGTGGATAACTAGGACAGGTGTCACTGCCTGGGAAGTACTACTATAAGCCTTCCTTCTAATTAACCGATTATAAATATAGCACTTATTAAAATTTGTTGTTACACATTGAAAGGCAACTAATATGATAGAAGGGACCATATGGATTGCCCCAGGGAAGATTTTAGTTAAATTAGTGTAGTATATTATGAAATTTCATGGTTTATGTTCAAGTTGAGGTGTTGTAAACTAACAGGGCGGGGAAGCATTTATCTTTCAGAATGTATATAGCTCCTAAATGTAAATGTTTCTGGTATATTGATGTAATAATGATGAATTATACGTGCTTATATTGCAGATTTTTATGAAATTAGGTATTTTTTTGTAATTCAATTTAATCATAGTGTAAAGATTGCACATTTACATATTCAGATATTTTGGTGTGGCCTCAAATATACTTCCTGAAGTCATATCACTCTTCATGTAGTATACTAGTGCTTAATATTGTGTTTTAATTAATATATAATTTTATACAATTATAGTATAATAAATTAATATTTACATTAGTATATTATTGTTATATCAAAATACATAATATACATATGTATTAGTATATATATTATATATATATATAATATATAGTGTTATATCTGTATAATAGTGTATATTTAGTGTAATATATTTATATTGCAATTATTATATATATGTAATATTTGTATATTAATACTAATATAGTGCTATATTATATTAGTATATATAATGATATTATATATATTATTTAATATTAGTAATATATATTAATATATATAAATGATATTAGTATAATTATGTATATTATAATATATAGATGTATATTTATTATTAATTAGTATATATATATATAATATTATAATATAATTTAATATGTATGATATATATATATATATAGTGTATATATTGTATATATATATATAGTATATGTATATATATAAGTGTATATATTGTATATATTATATATAGTAGTGAATATATATAGTGTATATATTGTATATATATTATATATATATATATTAATAGTGTATATATATGTATATAATGATATATATAATATTGTATATATATAGTATAGTGTATATATATTGTATAATATAGTTATATATATTGTATATATAGTGTATATTATATTGTATATATAGTGTATATATATATGTATATATATGTATATATATATTTATATGATAGTTATATATATGTATAATATATTGTATATATAGTGTATATATATTGTATATATAGTGTATATATATTGTAATATATAGTGTATTATATATATTGTTATATATATTGATATATATGTAATATATGTATAAAAGTTATATTATATATAGTGTATATATTGATATAGTATATATAGTGTATATATATTGTATATATATGTAATATATGTAATATAGTTATATATATTGTATATATAGTGTATATATATTGTATAATATATATGTATATTAGTTATTGTATATATAGTGTATATATATTGTAATATATATATAGTGTATATATATTGTATTATTATAGTGTATATATATTGTATATATAGTGTATATATATTGTATATATAGTGTTTATATGATATATAGTGTGTATATTTATATTAGTGTATATATATTGTATATATATATAGTAGTATATATATTGTATATATATATAGTATATATATTGTATATATATATAGTATAATATATATGTTATATAGTAATATATATTTTATATATAGTGTAATATAATGTATATAGTATATATATTATATATAGTGTATATATATTTATATATAGTGTATATATATTTATATATAGTGTATAATATATATATTGTATAATATATATATGTGTATATAATTTATATATAGTGTATATATATTGTATATAGTGTACATATTGTATATATATATATAGTGTATATATATTGCATATATATAGTGTACTTATTGTATATATAGTGTATTGCATGTATATATAGTATATATATAGTATATATATAGTACATGGCTGGATAAGTATATACCTATTGAAACTATCTTGATGCTTATTGTTTTTTGTTGATAGTCATGTCTTTGCTTAAGGCATTCATTTAGTCTTGGTTGTGCATTTTATTTGCATGATTGAAAGACCACATCGGTTAAGAGGAAAGTACAGTTTAAGTCTTGTAGCCCTTGTGTTAGTTTCTCAAGGACAGATAATGAAAACCTGCTGTTATCCTTGTTGGTTGGTTATGAATCTAGGAATAATTTATTTGTAAAGTTGCACTATATAGCAAGGCTATATAATTTAATATCCTTTACTTTTGCTATTAACTTTTTTGTCCAGTTCTAGAGGTTCTTTAACTTGTTGGCAATACCAACAATAACTAAAGCTTAATGAGCAAAGCTAGACTAAGCTTTCTGGTGTTGCTCTGGTTTCCCTCTAAATTCAGTTTTATTTCAAATAGGGATGAGTAGTTAAATTGATTGCATTAAGAATATTTCTGTTGCAGTCTTTAGTTCTCATAAATAATTTTGAGTGAATTATATGGTTGTGCAGCGTGTATTTCAAAAGGCTTAGAAGGGTATGGCTTATCTATAAACTGATAAACTATCATTGAAGATGTTTGGTAGCTTTAATGCACTAGGAGGAGTAGGATACTAGTAACTGTTACTGCTATTATTTATTCAAAGGAAAAAAAGTTATTCAATCAATTGTCAAACCAGTGCTTGTCTATAGCCTCTTGATATGTGTACTGCTCAACCATACTATACTTTCCTCAATGTTTGCAGGAACTTTTATGGTGCATGAGCGTGTTAGATAGGAGTGAATGGAGACGAATGATACTTGGGACCTGACGATCTGTTGGAGTGTGAGCAGGGTAATATTTAGTGAAGGGATTCAGGGAAACCGGTTATTTTCATATAGTCGGACTTGAGTCCTGGAAATGGGAAGTACAATGCCTGCACTTTAAAGGTGGGGTTTGGGATATTGGCAGTTTGGAGGGATATGTTGTGTATCTCTATACGTATATGCTTCTAAACTGTTATATTCTGAGCACCTCTGCAAAAGCAGTGATAATGTGTGAGTGTGGTGAAAGTGTTGAATGATGATGAAAGTATTTTCTTTTTGGGGATTTTCTTTCTTTTTTTGGGTCACCCTGCCTCGGTGGGAGACGACCGACTTGTTGGGAAAAAAAAAAAAAAAAAAAAAAATAGAACCTGCCTAGCGTGGGACCGTAATTTGTGATTTAGACATGAGCAAAAGTTGGGTATCATTATTGTTGAAACGATGTGCCTACTCAGTAGGCTTCTCCAAATAGAGGCAATAAGTGTAATGGTGAAAGGAAGGTGATGAAATAGTTCCATTACATCACCTTCACTTCACCACTACACCTACTGCCTCTTATTTTACTGAAGGAGCCTGCTGCTTTGTAGATAAAACATTTCTACAGATATCCAACTGTTGCTCGTGTTTTCAGTATTTTATACCATTTTCAACAAGCCAGTAGGTTTGCTGAATGGTTTTGTTCATTGGCACACATATAATCCTGTATATACTCTATAAAAAATTTTCACTGCATTTTTTTTTATTTCATGTATATTTGGGTGGAGTTCTTAGATGAAAAAAAATTAAACTATTTACGTATTTTTATATGATAATCAAACAAAAAAAAAAAAAGCACTGGTATTTCCACAATAAGCCACCAGAGACTTGTACTTAAATTTTTAAGAAATTAAAAACTAAAATTTACGCTTTATAGTGATGGTATTGTTGCCTCAACTCTAATGCTGTAATTGGACTTGAGCTTACCCTACCTTGGATTGAACCTGATTACCTCCCATTTCCCAGTTGCTATATATGACCCTTACAGGTTTAGTGCTTCCATGAATAACCAAATTTTCAATTTTGTTCCGGGGAACTGGATTAACCCCATTCCTCAGATTGAACCCAATTGCCTCCCATTTCCCAGCATTTGTATAGCCCTTATTGGTTGAGAATGATGGTTGGAAAGTTTGAGAAAAATTAAATCCCTGAGGTTAGTTAGCTTAAACAGTTGCTGACCATAATGTACATGTATTTGAAGCTGGAATATAACTACAGCATTATCTAGTTTTGGCCGAGGTCTAATGTTGTACCAAACCTTTATTTTCTAGATCTGCTGTTAAAAAGTTGATGAAGGCTGAAATATTTGGGTTGAAAAAGTGTTCTGCTTACACAGATATTCCATTGTAAAATAACAGAAAAATGTAGGCTAGAATGATACATGCCAAAGCCTTATGAATATAAAAAATACTTTTTCAGTTAAGAAATGGCCACTTATAAAAGGGGTTAAAGTACTTAAATCATGCATGCCCAGAGTTGTAGTGCAGTATGTGCTTCAGTAATACTACGTGCCAGTTTCAGTTCAGTATACAGCATATGTATATACTTTAAAATATACAGTATACTCCTAAATCTTAATGCTCCGTGTATTGTTTGATTGGGTATATTTTCAGTACCTTTCTTTCCTTTGTACATTTTAAATAAGCGTGTCCTGATAAGATAACCTCGTAGATTTCTGTAAAACTGGACTACGTATTTGTAAATGAAGATAAGAATTGCAATCAAAGGAAATACTAGTGACCCATTGCAGTATAATCATGGGGGATGTTGAACTTCCTTGTATGAATCAGCTGGGTAATCATATTTTACAGTTTTTATTAAAGGGGGATTTGTGTAATAAGTGAAGGGGTCTTCAAGGAACCGAAGTTACATTCCAGTTTC